GATTTCAAGGATTCTAACCGGTCTAAGGTATTATTTCATACCAAAATCATCCAAACATTTGGTCAAACACATAGGCGTGTTCAAATTAAAATCATTGGCATTTTGTTCGGTTGAAATTTAAATCATCTATCATAGTACTGTGATGTGTATAATATATATATATATATATATTTTAACAAATAATATGTGCTTTATAAAAATAATAATAATAAGTTCACAAGATTTTAAACGTGAAATCTGGTTTTTAATCACAATAGAAAAATCATTATAAGTTGTATTGAAAAAGTGTTATGATATAAAATAATTAAATAAAATACTTGATTGAAATAGAATACATTAATTACTTTTGACTTTTTTTTTACTACTAATTCTAGTAAATAGGATAACTTTTAATATAAGTATAGATTAGAAGGATAAATTAAAGGCCTAATTGCTAATAAAACCATGACCTTTTCAAAAATTGCAATTATATGCACCACTTTTAAACTTGACAAAAATATACACTACTTTCATTAATGTTTGCAATTTCATCCTCTGGGCCCAATTTCGGGCTTTCATTGCTGACGTGTTTGCTGGTATGGCACTGAGGTGGCGATAAAAAATAAAACACTGCTGGGATTGAGATTCGAACCTGTGTCTTCATGGGTTTATATGAGCACTATAACCACTAGACCAATACAAGTAGTATGGAGAATTTGATAGCATTAAATATATATATACACATATCGTATGGACAATCAAATTAAATATAAAAAATAATGTAAATTATATTACATTATATTAATAAGATATAAAATTATAATAATTAAAACATAATAAAATAAATTATATATATGAAATATAAAAATAAATTAAAATAAAGTCAGATAAAATTATAGTAGAATACATAAAATTAAATTAAATTTTAATATATTTATATATTTCTTATTTATTAAAATAAAACTAGTTAAATAAATTTGGAAATGAAAGATAATAATGATAAAATATATTAAAAAGTAAACTAGATTAAAGTATACAAGTTAAAATAAAATAAAATTAATATTTCTTGTTGGAGTCCATGGGATTTCATTGATGCAAAGAAAAATGAAAGTCAAGCACTTTCTCTTGCTAGTAAATAGACAACGAGAGTCTAGCTGCGTGTAGCGCTACGTGGCGATAAAAGTCAAAGCGCCAAGACATAAGATAATAAAGTATAAAAACAGTAAAGTAAAATAAAATAAATAAAATAATAAATCAAATAACTTATTATGAAATAATTAATTAAAATATTTATTATAATACTCTAAACTAATTTATTAAATAAAAGGTACCATAAAATCTATTACCGGCTTCCGGTAGGTTCTTCTCCTTTTGGGAGTACGTCTATTACCGGCTTCCGGTCCCTAATCGTTGTCATTTACCTGTAAATCACCTCTCAATAAGTGATATTTCTATATTCTCTTCCCCTTTCTCCACTGTAAATCTCAAAACCCCTTTACTGTGACTCCATTTCCTTTTTCTTCTCTGCACCCCTAACCTGCGAACCCTAATATGCAAGAAGATCTCACTCATCGATTCCAAAATTTTTCCCTCTCTCAGAAAGAGGAAAACATCACTTCTCTCGACACCTCTGACATCAGACTTAGCGCCGATGAATGCAACAAAAGCCTATTCGGGAAAATTGTCGGCGACATAAAAGCCCACCTTTTTGGCCTTAAGCGCACCATGTCGCTAGTATGGCAACTCAAACACCCTCTTACAGTGCGGGAGCTAGAACCGAATTTTTTCCAATTCATCTTCGAATCTGAAGCAGAGAAGAGCAATGTAGCCACTGGAAAAAATTGGTCTTTTGAAAACCAGTATATCATCCTCAAAGAGTGGCAAGAAGACTTGTCAGCAAATCATGAATGCTTCCAGGAAATTGACATTTGGGTCCAAGTCGCCAATGTTCCTCTCAACTGGCTTTGTACTGAGGTCGGTTTAAAAATTGGTAAATCCTTCAAGAATGTGAAAAATGTCACCATATGCACAGGTTCGGGTAATTGTGGAAGATACCTCCGACTTCTAGTCACCATTGATCTAAACGAGCCACAGTTACGATGTACCTGTCTCAAATTGGGTGAAAAAGTACGGAGGATTGAATTTAAATACGAAAAGCTAATCAACTTATGCTACTACTGTGGTCGAATTGGCCACCTTGATCGGGGTTGTAGCAACAGAATTGATGACATAGCCAAGGGTACCCTTGTAGAAGGACAATTTGGAGAATGGCTCAAAGCCGCTGAAGGAGGTTCTTCTCCCCGCTCTAGCAAAACTATCGAGCCAGCATCTTCACCAAAGGAAACCAACACTCTCCAAGCCAAGCCTACTACTGCAAATCCTCAAGAGGCAAATAATAGTGTTTCTTCTGAGCCATCCTAAAAAATAGCAGAATCATCAAACATGGCTTTGGATACTAACTCTCTTATACCACAAAAAGCAGAACCACTTGGTAAGGCCTTAACTCCAACCAGTACACCCTCTAACAACATGCTCCTCCTGGATTTCAACAACAGCTTCACATCTCCATAACATGGACAGATCATGGACTTTTCTATAGCTGCCCCACAACAGCCCCCAACCAATGATCCCAGCACCCCATGCAAAAGTACCACCACAAAGGGACAACTCAAGAAATGGACCCGCAAGCAGGCCAAATCTACAGATACCTGCCCTCCAATGCCCTCTCTTGATCACTCTGCTCTGCCAGAAAAGGAAAAGAGAGGAAGACAGATAGAAGCTGACAGTCCTAATCAACAAGAACCTGATCTCAAAGGCACTCACAGCAAAAAACAAAAATTGACTGATAAACAGGTGGAGGAAGCCAGCCTTAAGTGGCCCCGAGGTGATCAATGACAGCTATGGTGAGGAACTGTAGAGGTCTGGGTGGGCCCTCTACAGTTCCCCAGATCAAGGAAGCTTGGAGATTCCACCACCCAAATTTTGCTTTCATTTGTGAAACTAGAAAATCTAAAAAATTTGTAGCTACAGTCTGTAAAAACCTAGGAGTGGATGACAGATGGGTTGTCTCTGATCCTGTTAATAGAAGAGGAGGCTTATTAGTATTTTGGAACAATGAAGTTAACATCCATCAAATTCACTGCTTGCCTTTTTGCATAGAAGTAGAGTTCAGTACTAATAATAACCCCCATAAATCTTGGTTTGTGTTTGTTTACCTGAGCCCTTGCAGGCAAACCAGAGCTAACCAATGGCAATACCTCATTCAAGCAAAAGCAAAATGGGGCAACAGCTGGGTTCTTGGAGGTGATTTGAATGACATTCTCTGCCAAGGTGAAAAGAATGGAGGAAAGCTTAGGACTGAAGCTAGCTTTTGGGGCTTCAGAACCTTCCTAGCTGACTTGGGAGGACAAGAAGTATACATGGAGGGATACCCATTTACATGGGGCAACAATAGAGTGGCAGAAGGATACATAGAGGAGAAACTTGACAGAATGATAGCCTCTCTTCATTGGCTTGCCACTTATCCTGATGCTAGAGTCCTCAACATATTCAGAAGTGCCTCTGATCATAATCTGCTACTTCTCTGTACTGGCACAAAACAAGAGCACAGGAGGAAAACTTTTTGCTTCGACAAAAGATGGCTCAAGAAACCAAGAATCAAAGAAGAGATTCAAAAAGCTTGGAACCAGCCTTCTAAGGGATCAGCCATGTACTCCCTCACTGAAAAGATCAAAGCAACTCGAGTGGCTCTTTTGAAGTGGAGTAGAACCTTCAAAACAGACTTTGCAAGAACCATAGAAAAGCTGACTGCAGAAATGACTGGTCTTAGAGAACAGGGAGGGAACAGAAACTGGAAAAAGTGGCACCAACTAAAGCAGCAACTGGATGAAGCTTACAAATCTGAAGAAGTCTTCTGGAGGCAAAAATCAAGAGCCCTCTGGCTCAAAGAGGGTGACAAGAACACCAGATTCTTCCACGCATATACACTCCAAAGAAGAAAATGCAATTCTATTACCAGGCTGCTCAATTCGGATCAAATTATTTGTGATACCAGGGAGGACATTGCCAACTGCATTTCTAATTTCTACCAGAACCTCCTAACTTCAGAAGGTTCCCTTGATGTTGGCAACCTGCTCAGCTATATTCCCACATCCATTACAGAGGAACAGAACACTACCCTCACAGGCCATGTTACAGAGGAAGAAATTAAGGCTGCAGTATTTTCTATGCACCCGGATAAAGCACCTGGATGGGATGGTATGACACCTTCCTTTTTCCAGTCTTTTTGGAATATCATTAAATCTGACTTATGTGCAGCTGTGCAATCCTTCTTTACTTCGAGTCATCTGCTTAAAAATTGGAATCTCACCCTAATAACCCTTGTTCCAAAGTGTCTCTCTCCAATCACTGTTGGGGACTACAGGCTAATAAGCCTTTGTGAGGTCATCTACAAAGTAATCTCTAAAATTCTTGCTGACAGGTTAAAGCCTTGCTTATCCTCTTGCATTAGCAACACACAATCTGCATTTATTCCTGATCTGCAGTTGCTAGATAATGTGATAATAGCTCATGAGGTGTTTCATTTCCTCAATAGGCACAGATCTGGTGCTAAGAGCTATATGGCCTTAAAACTTGTCATGTCTAAAGCGTTTGATAGAATTGAATGGGCAAGTATCAGGAGAATTATGGAAAAAATGGGCTTCCATCTTAAATTTGTTAACTGGGTGATGGCTTGTGTGCAATCTGCCTCATATTCTTTCAAACTTAATGGCTGTCCTACTGGCTATATAATCCCCTCAAGAGGAATAAGGCAGGGAGATCCTATCTCCCCATACTTGTTCCTTTTGGTCACTGAATGCTTATCTTGTTTGATTCATCATGATATTTCTACTGGTGCTTATAAAGGGGTAAAAATATCAAAGCAAGGGCCCACACTTAGTCACTTATTCTTTGCTGATGATTCATTAATCTTTTGCCAGGCGACTGTCGACTCTGCTCATCTTATTATGAATATGCTGGAGAAATATAAATGTTTTACAGGTCAGCAAGTAAACATGGCAAAGTCCTCAATCTTTTTTAGCAAGAACACCTCGGATAGTCTGCAAGCTGCAATCTACCACATTCTTCATGGTATAACTCCCCACCGCTCTTCAAGATATCTAGGCTTACCTCTTGGCATAGGCAGATCAAAAGGTGAAACATTCCACTATGTTGTTGATGCTGTAAAAAATAAATTACTAAGCTGGAAGAATAAATTCTTATCAGGAGCTGGAAAAGAGGTTCTTATCAAATCCGTTCTCAGTGCACTCCCCATCTTCACAATGTCATGCTTCATGTTGCCTGTGAGTATATGTAAAGAATTGTCCCAGCTTTTCTCTAATTTTTGGTGGAGCTCCCAAAATTCTGGAATCCATTGGAAAGCCTGGCATTTAATTACCCTCCCTAAGGCTGCAGGGGGCTTAAGCTTCCATGATATTCATGTCCTTAATGAAGCTCTTATTTTAAAGCAGCTCTGGAGACTCATTACAAAGCCAAATCTTTTAATGAGCAGAGTCCTCAGGAACAGATACTTCCCAAATGGAGACTTCTTTGGAGCCAAACCTACTCAGAATGCATCTTGGCTTTGGAGAACATGGCTTAAGGTTCAAAAATCTTTTCTTGATGGATTTATGATGCAGATTGGAAATGGCAGGCACACTAAAATTTGGGAGCACCCTTGGGTACCTGACTTACCTAATCACAAGCTGTTGACTAAAATAGAAACTGCTCCCAATTTGATTTGGGTTTCTGATCTCATTGATACAGATGGAATCTCATGGAACAGAGAGTTGCTTAGCAGATGCTTTCCACCCTCAGAATGTGAAGCTATCTTGAAAGTAAAAAATCTGAGTAGGCACCTTCCTGATAAAGCCATCTGGTCTTTTAATGCAAAGAAAAGCTTCATTGTGGCAGCCACTTATGCTCAGCTAATATCAGATAAATTGCTAAAACTTGATGTTCCAGAAAGTAGCAGGCACTCTAGCACTCTCAGGAGGATGAGAATCAGAAGTTGGAAATTGCATATTAAAGGAAAGGTGAAACACTTTATATGGAGATGCTACAATGGTGTCCTACCTGTAGCTGTAAACTTGAATAAAAGAGGTCTAAAATTAGATCCTATATGCATGCTCTGTGGGGAGGAACCTGAAACAGCTGAACATACTCTCTTTCACTGCCCCAGAGCTGTAACAGTCTGGAAAATGTCCCCAGTTCATTGGGATGGACCTGTGCAATTTCAAGATAACTTCAAGAGTTGGTGGACTGATATCTGTCTCCTTAAGGACCACAAGGCCATTATAGATAGAGTTCAACTGTCAACATATATATTGTGGCAACTCTGGAAGACAAGAAATCTTTGGGTTTTCCAAAAAATCTGGACCCCAGAGCTCATCATAATCGAGAATGCAATCAAAGAATGGAAGGAGTTTGATGCCCTGCTAGCTTAATGTCTATTTTCTTGGTGTTATTGTTTTCTTCATTGATCCTTGTTGTTTTTATCTTGTCTTCTTTTCCTATCTAGGCATTTATGCATTGGCTAGTTTGGTTAGCTTTCTTTTTTCTTTGTTGTAGTCTTGGCTAGTGGCAGGTTCCCTCTTACCTTGTGGATGTTGCTTAGCCTTTATTGTATCTTTGATTGTCTAGGAAGCTTATGGCTCTCCTCTGATCCCCTTGTGATTGTGATCCCTATGGATCCCGTGTATGTTTGAACTGGTTATTTTAATGAGAATTTTATGATCGTTTCGAAAAAAAAAATTATTAAATAATTTGATATTATTTTAATAAATTATTTATTAATATTATAATGAAATAATGTTTTTTTTATTTTACTATTTTCATTTACTATTTTCATTTATTTTTATTTATTATTTCGTAATTAGTTATTTGATATATTATTTTATTTATTTTATTTTACTTTACCATTTTTTATTTATTTTATAATATTATATTATTTTTATTTTATTTTAATTGGTGTACCTTAATCTAGTTTATTTTATAATATAATTTTATCATTATTATTTTTCATTTTTAAATTTATATAACTAGTTTTATTTTAATAAAATAAGAAATATATAAATATATATAAATGTCATTTAATTTGAATGCATTCTACTGTAATAAAATTTATCTTACTTTATTTTAATTTATTTTTCATTTCATATATATAATTTATTTTATGATATTTTAATTATTATTATTTTATATCTTATTAATATTATTAATATAATTTACATTTATATTTAATTTGATTATTTATACGTAATATCTTATTAAGATAGACATACAGCTTGTATGGTGTAGTGGTTACTACATCAACATACAACCTTGAGGTTGTGAGTTCGAATCCCTCCAGCAACGATTTATTTTTATCACCAGCCATATGCCATGTCAGCAGAAATCATCACATCAGCATCCATGTCAACAAACATTGCCAGAAATACGCCACATCAGCAATAAAAGCCCAAAATTGGGCCTATGAAATTGCAAACATTAATGAAAGTGGTGTATATTTTTGTCAACTTTAAAAGTGGTGCATATTATTGCAATCTTCGAAAAGGTCATGGATTTATGAGCAATTAGGCCTAAAAATTAAATTTATATTGTGTAGAGAGAGAGAGAGAGATTTTTCCAATATAATAGACTATGTTTGGAGATGGTTACTTATTCGTGGGGATGTTTATTTAAGTGACCTAGTCAAAGGTCATATTTATTTAAATGACCTTTTTTGTCTTTTCTATAAAATGTAATAAATGAAGGGTCAAAAATGCCCTTATGTTATATAACAAATGTTCTTTCGTTTTTTCTTTATGATATAACGAAAGTAAGTTCGTTATATACTTTATTAAAACTTGTTATATCTTAATTCCTAATTCTTTACTTATTTCTTGAACCTTTTGTTCAATTTTATATATATTGTTATTCGGTTTTATGATTACTTTAGTACAATTATCTATTTTTGAAGAACTTGCTTCGTTTTCTTCATTATTCTGTTTAGGAATAATGTATTCTATTTTAGGTCTAGCAAAAGATGAAGTTCTATGTACTTGAAAGGACCTTCTAGGTGATTCTAGTTGTAATATTGGTGAAAACAATTCATCTATTTCAATTTTATCATGAGGTTTGAATGACAAACTGTGATAACTATTAGTCAAAGCATAGTTTATTCTCCATGTTACTGAAAATGGATGATTTCCAGTTTTCATTATTTTTCTTTTCATGTTCCAACACAAAGTGATGGAATCATCTAAATTATTGTCTAATAAAGACATTCCAACTTGGTAGTTTAAGTTAAACTTAATTTTACCAAATTTTAAATTTTCACTCCCTTCAGCTATTAATGCATCAGAATAATTAATCATTCTATTATCAATTAATCTTATTGTAATGGGAGAATCTATTCCTAGACTATAAGTTGATTTAAGAATCATTTGTATAGTAGAAACATGTAAGTAAGAGATTTTATTCCTAGTTTCTGTTTTATATCTTTCAATGTAGAAAGAATTTGTTCTTTACAGATAACAGGAATAACTACATCTTCTTCTGTTTGATCTGTATCTATTGTTTCTTCTCCAGAAATGATTCCAAAGAATATTTCATTTTTTCTAGAAATTAAGTTATTTAATGTCTTTACCAATCCTTCATTTCTGAAGTTATGATTCTTTTTTAAGTCATGATCTGCTATTCCTAATTTATTTGCATCTATCAAGGCTTCAATTAAATAGCCTGATTTTTCGTGCTTTGTACAATAATCTAAAAGATTATTTTCTTTATCCATTAGACTCTTAATCTAAAATTTTAGTATTTTCGCCTGATACCAGGCTCTGATACCATTTTGGAGTTTTGTTTTTGCTGTTTTGCTGCTGCTTTTAATTTCAGGTTTATGACCATTTTTGCGGAATTTCCTAGATATTGAATCTTAGTTTTTCCAATTTTTTTCTTTATACTTTTCAGATAATTAACTTGTCCTTCTATTTCTGGAAAACAATCTCCATAATAATTATCTCTTGTAGAATGCCTTTTATAATTTTTCTTGACTGTAATTCCATATATAAGATTTTCTAGATTTTGTAAAAGATCCTCTCTAGCTTTTTCAAATAAATCTATTTCATTTTTTCTTATATTACCATAAATATCTAAACTTATAGAACTAGCATTTAATCTTTCGTTAATAATGTCAAACTCTTCTTTCATCCTTAAAAGTTAAAACAATCTTCAAAAGAAATTGTTCTTTCTTTTTCGTCTTTTGATTTTATTTGAAACTGTGATTTATGCGGAATACTCATGAGAAAGATGAGACTCTGCCATGATTAATCCATTTTTTACAAACCTCAAATTCTGGGATTGTAATGGATTCTCGTTTTGGACGAGTCGAAGGCTATAAGCCATTCTTTCGATATCTGAAGCAATCAGATTTTTATCGCAAGTTTTTATCGCAAGTTCGAATCAAAGTTTGATACTTAACTTTCAACTTTTGAATAGTTGATTCTAAAACATATTCTCACGAATTAGCAGGCATTCTTTATATACAGAGTTTTTCTAAGTTTGATATAATTTTAGCTAACTCTTTTTCTCTAGTTACAAGTGATGAATGAATATCATTGTAATAGTTATCTTTTGTTCTTTGTCTATTATTTCTAATAGTTTGTCTTTGAACACCATTTTCTAGAATTTTTAGTTTTTCTATAATTTCTAGCTTAATGAACTTCAAAAGATTATTTTCTAATCTTTTTAATTCTTCATATTTATCTAACCTTATAGGTAATTGCATGCAATTTTCAATGTTATTAAAAACATTATTAAAAAGTTCTGAGCTCATACCTTTCTTCTGGGATTTGAGTTCTTTTAGTGTGCTTGAGATGATTGATCCACCATGGCTTCCTGCTTTTACTTCTCAAATTCCAAACACTGTGCTCCAAGTCGCCTTACAGCCCTGCTCCGTGGGTCTTACTCCGACGAGCGATTGTGTCTCCAGGAATCTCCAGAGAATTTTAGCCTAAGCTTTTTGTTTGATCCTTCGTTGAAGCTTAATAGCTTCTAAGTGTTTGATTCTTAATGTTGTGTTATAAATTTCGGGACCTTTTTGAAAAGAACAACTTTTTATTGAATAAAAATGTTTACAGAGAATGAAACTTCGAAATCTGATGATGGATTCCTCCCCTCTATGCTCATATGGCAC